CAGATGATCATAATGGTCCCTTCTGACCTTAAAGTCTATGAGTCTATGAGTCTATGAGACTCCAGCCGCTTCATTAACCATCTTCAGAGAGTTCTTTTCCAGGATGACATTTAATTTGAGGACTAATGCTGTCTCTGCAAAACGTCAGGAGGTTGATCTGATTGTTGACATTTTTTATTCATTTTTTTCAATAGCGTAATGTTGTATGCTATACCATCAGCTTTGAAAGAGGAGGTCAGAACCAAAGACAAAGTTTTTAAACTTAAGTGCTTAATTTTAGGCACCCAGATCCATATTTATGCCCCTAAATGAGTGAACTGATTTCCAGATGTTCTGAGCCACCCAGCTCCTGTTGCACAGTATCTGAAAATCAGAACGCTCAGTTACTGGTTTTGGCTTAGGTTCCTTACAACCCGTTAAAAGATTATTTCAGCTACAGTATAAGACACTCTGAAATAGTCCCACCCTATTCTTCCATCTGATGTCTGTAAATGTCTCAGATCTTAAAGGTGACCTGAAAAAGAAAATAATTTGCCTTCTGCTGTCTTTTTTTGCTGCTTTGTGATGTGCAAAGAAGGCCTGAAAGGTAGGGGTTTTGGCCTGTGTTAGAAATTTAAATCTCGTGAAGGCCAGAAGACTATATTTACTCGAGAGCTAGTGAAATGGTGATAATCTGAAGGGTCAGTACAGTGAACATTGAGTTAAGACTACCAGCCACCCCATTGGGTTGGGAGAGGTGGCTGCCCTGCTCAAGATAGGTCACACAAAAGGAATAAGAACAACAATATTCCAGGCTCAGCAAGGTGAAAGTTAAACAGGCACAGAGTAGCTACCTTTGGCCACAGGGCAAATGAAACAAAACAAACACAGGGTAGTTTCCTCCCACTTACCCCAAGTGTCCACAAAGAACACAGGGCAGCAGCTTCCTTCAGTCAGGGCCTAGTTTGAGGAAACAAACAAAATTCAGTTCTGACTGTGATCAGAGTCTCTTGGCTCCAGCATAACGTTCTGTGTACAAGGCAGCCAAATAATTCCCCAGATCCTCCTGTCCCCTGAGGAAGAAAGATAAATGAGGCTATTATCTCTTCCCATTTTGGATGTCTGTACTGCCTAACTAGCCACAGCTGACAGCACTTCCCTCCAAGTTTGGCAGCTCAGACAGTCTTTAAGCTTGAGTTTCCTCTTTTCTGGGTAGTGAAGATGTTTACATTCTGGTTCACATGATCGAGATGGGGCACATACACCACATCACAAAAGACCTGCTTTATTTGGTTTTGCTAATACCCATTTAACTTTAAGAATCATAGAACTGGAAGGGACCTTGAGAGGTCATCTAGTCCAGCCCCCTGCACTCATGGCAGGACTAAGTAATATCTAGACCATCCCTGACAGGTGTTTGTGTAACCTGCTCTTAAAAACCTCCAATGATGGAGATTCCAGAACCTTCCTAGGCAATTTATTCCAGTGCTTAACCACCCTGACAGTTAGGAAGTTTTTCCTAATATCCAACCTAAATCTCCCTTGCTGCAATTTAAGCCCATTGCTTCTTGTCTTATCCTCAGAGGTTAAGAAAAACAGTTTTTCTCCCTCCTCTTTGTGACAACCTTTTATGTACTTGAAAACTGTTATCATGTCCCCTCTCAGTCTTCTCTTTTCCAGACTAAACAAACCCAATTTTTTCAATCTTCCCTCATAGATCATGTTTTCTAGACCTTTAATAATTTTTGTTGCTCTTCTCTGGACTCTCTCCAATTTATCTTTCCTGAAATATTGCGCCCAGAACCAGACACAATACTCCAGTTGAGGCCTAATCAGCATGGAGTAGAGTGGAAGTATTACTTCTCGTGTCTTGCTTACAACACTCCTACTAATACATCCCAGAATGATGTTTGCTTTTTTTTGCAACAGCGTTACACTGTTGACTCATATTTAGCTTGTGGTCCACTATGACCCCCAGATCCCTTTCCACAGTACTCCTTCCTAGGCAGTCATTTCCATTTTGTATGTATGCAACTGATTGGTCCTTCCTAAATGGAGTACTTTGCATTTGTCCTTATTGAATTTCATCCTATTTACTTCAGACTATTTCCCCAGTTTGTCTGCAAACTTTATAAGTGTACTCTCTATGCCATTATCTAAATCAATGACTAAATATTTTGGGGAAAGAAATCCTATGTTAAAGATTCAGCAACCTCCTCCCTTCAGTTAAGGTGTTAGGCCCCTGAATAAGTGATGCCCTGGCTTTGGCAAATTAGTGCTAATCTACTGGTACATACCCTAAGGTCCACTTTTAGATTTTGGAGGAAGGGTCCCTTGACATAACCAAATACATATCCCACACTACAAAATAAGACTATAAGACACGATAAAATTTATGGTGTGGGAGGTGGGGACAGCCAGTGCCACAAGTTACGTAACTTGCACTGTCCACAGTAACCTAAATAAAGGTATGCATGTAAGCATGATACTAGGTGAGAATAAATGGAAGAATGTGTTTGGAGTGAAAGAAATAGCAGGCAACTATGTAAGTTTGTGTAGAGAGGGGCAGAGAGTGAGGAGGGGAAAAAATGATTGGAGCCCAACCAAGTAAGGGAAGAGGCTGAGAGCCTGCCACAGGGAAGAGAGACAAGAGGATGAGAGGTGGAACAAAAGGGTCAGAATGAAGAAAGAAGGGAGGGAAGAGAAGGGACCAGTGCAAGACAGTGCTGCTTAGATTGAGGACCTGTATGGCCTGCTGTATGATGACATTGCCAGAGCAGAAAACAAGTGACCTTTAAGCTATTCTAAAGGGGAATCTGAGGATTCCTCCTGTGTGGTAGCATGTTGGATATTGCCTGAAAGCAGGGCATGGTTGAAAAGGTGGAGTGTGTTCCAATGATACTTGGTTGGCAGAATAGTCCCTAGGGACGGTCTAATTAACGTAAGTTAGAGCAGCCTTGTGGCTAGGTCTGTGGCCCAAAGAGCTGTGACTTTAAATAAGCCTTCTCATCCTGTTCTTTAAATCATCAATTAAGCAATGAGATGACATTGCGTAGTTCAGACAACAAAATGATTGCATTTTAACTAAACCAACAAGAGAACACAAGATAAAGAGCGTTTGAGGCAGAGATAGTCAGCATATAGAAATTCTGTATGTGCAGAAACATTCACCTGATAGTAAGTAATCTTTCAAGTCATGAGTAACCAAGAGCACAATGACTGAACAGAGGTGCAAAACCACCTCACTAGTGAGAACACTGCTGATAGGCCTTTCTTCTTCCATCACACCTAAAAGTAAAGTAATGCATGCATGGATATCCAGCTTCAAGACCAAAAAGTTATGCTGTAATCTGTCATACATGGCTATATATTGTCAGCTCTACACTGTGTCCTGTTAAGTTTGGAGTATGCTTATTTATTCGGGTTACTTTTTTTGGAGGGGGGCGGGACTTCTGTAATTCTATTAATGTACTGCTTGTGTTACTTGTGTTTTTATTTGGAGCTCTACTTCTCCCTTCTGCAAGTCCCCTCCCAATGGAGCTATCCTGCAGGACCTAGGTTCCCTAGGGCTGGGTTTTTCCAGCCCCAGAACTGGATGAGCACACACACAGCCACACATACATTAACAGAGCAAGTTTGAGCAGACCAGGTCAATTAGCACTTTTAAGGTGACCCCTTATATGTCTCTGGACTTACTGAGCTTAATGAAGCAGCACTTTTAAACTGCCTCCTCTTATATGCCCCTGGGTTCCTTGGGCTGGGTCAAGCAGCACTTTCAAGCTGTCACCCTTATGCATCCCAGATTCAGCACGTCCCTATCCCCACTCTTACATCACAGTTGTACTGGCAGTAACCTATTTGATGAGCAAACCCCACAGTATTTTGGGTGCTGTAGGGATCTTTAGCTTAGGTAAAAGAAGCATTGCTGTAGACCGAATGGGGGAAGCTAAAAACACAAAAGAGTAAAGTTTAGCAAGAGAGAGAGAAGCAACCAGCTTAACCATAAAAGTTATTTATTGAATAATAGTGATAAGTACACAAGGAGAGCCTAAATCAACATAACATGAATTATTAAATGTTAATACCTAAGGTAGAAAGGAAAACAGAGAGAAAGAGGGGGATTTCACCCACTCCATGAGGCTTGAACGGGTTGGGGTTCCCAGGTGGTGGTGGTAGCTCAGGGTCTTGAGTGCTAGAGACAGGCAGAGCCCCCAGCACGATCAGTCAGGAGAAGACGGAGTCCCAGTGGAACTGATGCATAGTTTGGATCTAAGCATCAGAACACTGACTGGAGGGTGAGTAGGGATTTTTGTAGAGAAAATACAATGGTTCAAGGGAGAACACTAGATTTGTTTATGGGTAAACTGATGACTCAAGGGTTTTCTTTAGGCTAGACAATAGGAGCTGATTATTCTTGGCTATGGGTGGTGGTTTCTTCCAGGGAGCTCACAATGCAACTAGGCTGCTTTAACAACAAGGAGTCTGGTGGCACCTTAAAGACTAACAGATTTATTTGGGCATAAGCTTTCGTGAGTTAAAACCTCACTTCTTCGTTAAAGACTAACAGATTTATTTGGGCATAAGCTTTCGTGAGTTAAAACCTCACTTCTTCGTTGTTTTTGTAGATACAGACTAACACGGCTACCCCCTGATACTTGACACCATGCTAGGCTGCTTTAGTATTTTGGATATTAATCAAGGATTCATTACTAGAATTGGTCTGATAATTGCTGAGCTGGGTGTGTGCAGGCGTAGATTCATTAACATCTGGAGCAGAGATTCCCATGATGCAGTGTGTCCCTGCTTTTCTGGTCCCAGAGTTCAGGGCGGTTTTCTGTTCTCCATTCTGTATGCAAATTGAGATGTTTCCCTGTCCTATTTTTTTATGCAGATGAGGCTAGGGGAGTTGTCTCTGTTTTTCATTCTGTATGCTAATGGAGATGTCTTAATCTTGTCACCCTTGTCAGGAGGGGTCTAGGTGTGTCTCCCATCCACACTTCATTGCTCTCTGCAAGTCTTTTCTCTAATGTGTTTTGATTTAAGCAGTAGTAGACTACAGCTGGCTAATTCTAATTCTCTAGCTCTCAACTGGTCAAGTAGATGCTGTTTTGCACTGATTAGCTTTATGGTCCAGAACATTCTCCCTGCCCTTTCTAGAAGCCTGAAGCCCTACTGATTCTCAATAAGAGAATAGTTTAGCACATCCTCTGAATCTGTGCATGCTCATGGCTTTTCTCCTGACGTCAAATCTTTCCATCAGTTAGAAATACTGTACTAGTAATATCAATAATAATAGTGACAAATGGTGGCCTGCTTTTTGTCAGAGAATGCCAGTACTTTTCTAATTTAATTTACTGTGGAGTGTGAAGAGACTACACTGATATACAAGCCTGATAAGCTATCTTTACTGTTCACACCGAAATTGAAGATTACTGAGGTAGAGCTTGCTTCTGCTCTCATTGAATTCAGTTACAGAATTTACATTGTCTGAGTTTACATTTTCATTTTCTAATACTGTATATTCTTCATTCACATAAAAAGTTGACTAGATGTCTAGATGATCATTCTGAAGGCTGACTTCTATGACAAGTAAAACTGATCACATCTCACTCTGTTTTTGTCATGTCCATTGCAGGAGAATGGGTGGGAGACCAAAGACATGGCAATGGAGTTTACTACTACGTGAATGGAGACACCTACACTGGAGAATGGCTTAACCACTATAGGTTTGTTTCATTATTACAGTGAACTTTCAAGTTTCTTGATAAAGTTTAAAAAATGTTGTCTTCAGAGTTGTGGTTGTCCTTTTGAAAGAGAGAGCTGTGGGAGGGCCTTGGCAACCAAATCCAGTTTGGAATGGGAGGAAAGCCTGCAGTAAGACATCAGCTGAATTAAATAGAGCCAGACACAGAAGGCAGATGAGCATGAATGTATGAAGAAGATGTTCTTGGGGTTGGAAATATAGATTAATGTGGCATTTGTTTAAATACTTTAAAATTGCAAAGAAATCCTGCACTTTTAATTTACAGTAATATAAAGTACAATTACTATTTGCCTCTCAGGCACGGGCAAGGTACATACCTCTATGCAGAGACTGGCTCTAAATATGTTGGTGGCTGGGTAAATGGGCAACAGGAAGGAGCAGCTGAACTTATTCATCTAAACCACAGATACCAGGGCAAATTTGTGAATGGAAATGTAAGTATGTTGGAAAACGCTATTTGAATTTGAAAAACTAGCGCATGTTGTTGTTCTGGTATGGACTCTTTACATTGAAAAATTAAACCAGGTTTCCCATTTTGCACAGTATTCTTTGAACCATAAATGTAACAGGTATAAATAAATCAATGACGATGCAAAGTTTCTCCAAAGTTTACTTTTCTCATTGTATTTTTATTTATTATTGTGTAAATTACATAGTACAGTGTTAAGTGATCATTTCTATTTTTCATTTATTCCTTCAGAGTTTTCTAGCTTTAAAGTCTTGCTAACTTTTTATTTCTCTTTGTACAGCCGGTAGGTCGTGGAAAGTATGTCTTCGATATTGGGTGTGAACAGCATGGTGAATACACACATCTAGATCAGGTAAATAATATAATACAGACTATACCAAATGTTAGAAAACTCAGCAAGTCAGGTTAGCTTGTTCAAACGTAGTCTGCCTAGCTCATTACAGGTACTGTATATTTAAAAAGTCCAACAGCTTTAGAATGTGCTTTTCTAGGCACCAGAGTCAATAAAAAAACGTGTCTGGCTACTGTGCTGTGCAAGCCCTGACACATGAGGGCCCCATTGCTGCTCCCATTGCAGACACTAGAAGTTTTGCCGTTGATTTCAGTGAAAGCAGGATCATACCTCAAATGTGCTAGCCTTCTGCAATACAAAAAGCCAGACAGAGTTTTGATTGACTTTGGCCTTTATTTTGAAGATGTCATGTCCCTTTACCAGATATGGACTGGCTTCAGAGCTTGCTTATATACACCAGATGTGGTCATCATAAGATCCTTTAATGCTGTGCTTGGTATAGTTGAGGTTCATTTAAATAAGGTATTTTACACACCATGCCCCTTAGTGGCTGAACAGTATAATGTATTTTAGCACTCCATTACAAAAGACTGGAAAATAAAAATATAGTACTAAGTAATTCTAAAATTTAGTGAAAAATTACAGGTGCAAATTTAGAGCCACAATTGAGACTACTTTTGAAAATGTGGTCTATTATTGTCTTGATCCTGTGAGGTACTAAGTACCCACAACTCCCATTGATTTCAATAAGAGTTGTGGGTGAATAGTATTGGGGAATGATTTTTCTTCTTGCTTTTGAGTGTGGCCTTTCAGACCTGTTTCTGACTACCAGACCTACGTACTCTAGTTATATAATCAAAACAATAATGCCTAGCTGTTATTACAAATATATTTTTAGCTTAGTATTTTAGTTTCAAGATAATAAACATGCTGCATTTAGTTCAGAACTTGCTCTTTTTCTATATTGCCTGACATGCCAGATCTTAGTCTATTACATGCTATTTCAAAACTTCCAGGGAAACAATTATTTCAAATATAATCGCACCTAAATGAAAGTTTTGGGCGATTTGTAATCTTTTATTTTTTTAAAAAGGGTCTTTCTAATTTTTCCATCTTTCTACAGTTAACATGTCAATCTAGTTCACATTTATTTCTTCTCTTTCATTGATTTGCTCAGCTAATACAACCCAAGGACAAGAGAAAGGGCAGCAAAAAACTGCCTTCTGTTCCAGGGTATGGGAACCCACAAACCACTAAAGGCTTTATCTTCATGGAGCCTAGTGTAACAGAGGTGCTCTTTGGGTTTGAATGAAGTGTTTCTGCTGCATGGTTTACCCGCATGTAACAAAAACAAAAAAACAATATTCCTTCATAATATCAGTTTGAATGAGAAACTTTTGCTTTACCTGTAAAATTTAACTCCAGTTGTTTTTGTTTGTTAAGACCTTAAAAATATGAAGCATTTTATAACTGAAATGATTATTATTTCTATTGTATTGAATGTTTTGGAAAACAGCTATTAAGATGTAAAACATATGCTTTGGCTTTGTTTTACTTTTATTCCTTAATCAAACTGTATTTGCCTCCTTAAATGACAAATAATGATGGGTGTTTCCTCTTTGTCTGTAAATATACTGCAATTACATTTCGAAATGTTTAGATATTGTTAGACAAAGCACTAGGAAAGATAACACCTATCCCAAGTATATTTGTAAGCAATAAGATATGAGGAAGTGTGTATGGTTATAATGGAAGATTTATGTGTGTGACGTGATGAAACCTTCAGCCCCCAAGAAGTATGAGCAATATCAATTTCTTTATGCCAGTGCTCTCAGATTTCTATAAAAAAGGAACAACTTGCAGCTCCACATCAGATCCCTAAAGAACAGTGTGTGGTGGTGGGTATGTCAAAGCCAGTGTCTCTGCTGCTAGAGGTCTATGTTGGGAGAACTCAGGGCTCTTGCAGACAGTGGCTTCACAGATGCTCATTGTGTCTGGGAGGAGAGGAGGAAAGTATCTCCCCCTTCCCCACTCCCCCTGGCCTGGCTACTTTGTGTGTGCGAAGATTTGCCCCTTAGGCGTTTGTCTATACTGGAGCTGGGACTGTAATTTCTAGCTGAGGTAGAAATTCCCATGATCGCGCTCTGATCAAGCAGTGTAGCCAGAGTGGTGCAAGCAGTGGGAAGGGCTAGCTGCCCAAATACGTACCTAGCATTTCAGAGGTGATTGTGTTTGTGGGCTCCCCTGCTGCCACTCGTACCTCTGTGACTACACTATTTTTAGCATGCTAGCTTGATCAGAGCTAGCACAGATATGTCTGTCTGAGCTAGGAAATATACCTCCAGCTCCAGTGTAGACATACCCTCAGTTCTAACTGGTGCTGATTGAGATGCATTAAAAATTAGGGCTCAGTTATGGCCTGTAAGAGCCTGAACCATATTTGGAAAGTGAAGAGGTGCACTATTGGGGGTGTTGCCTGAGGACATTATACCTTCGCAAAACGGGCACCTAAAATTAGGCACTTAACTCCATATTTGGATACCTGAATATAAGTAGCCGGACTTTTACAAGTGCTGAGCACCCAGCAGGTCCCACTGACTTCAGGAGGAGCTGATGGGTGCTTGATACTTTTGAAAATTAGGCCATTTATGTAGGTGTCTAAATGTGAACTTAGAAGCCTAATTTTAATCACTCACTTTTGACAGTCTTAGCCCTTAACTATAGCAATTACTCTCAAGTGAATCCTGTGATTATATTATTTACTGTAGGTCACAGTGCTATACTCCCATTACAGCAGGGGTCGGCAATGTTTGGCACGCGACTGGCCAGGATAAGCACCCTGGCGGGCCGGGCCAGTTTTATTTACCTGCTGATGTGGCAGGTTCGGCCGATCGCGGCCCCCACTGGCCGCGTCAGCAGGTAAATAAAACTGGCCCGGCCCACCAGGGTGCTTACCTTGGCGAGTCGCGTGCCAAACATTGCCGACCCCTGCATTACAGTAATGAGAATAAACAGTCAAAACTTTGCTTGTTTGCTGTAGTTGAAATAGTTGTAGTACAAGACTCATTTTCAAATAAAATTAGTTAAGAAAAGTTATCTTTCAATACAAGTAGCTAGTCTATTATTTAAACTCTCCCACTTTTGTATAAAATAAATCATTCTTATTTGTAAAGAAAGAGACATAAGGTCAGATATTGAGAGCACAAAAGCTCATGTACAGTACTACATTCTTCATAAGTTCCATGGGTCTTACCTGAGCACAGACTGCACTGCCTTGTGAAGCAGAGAGCAATTTTGTATTGCGTGCACTCTTGCTTGTCTGTTTCTGAAAGGAGTTGGGGCAGAGAGCTGTATAACTCCACTGTGAGAATCAGGATGCATTCCCCCTCTGGGGCGCAGAATGCCTCCGTGAGCTCCCTATGTGCCAGACCTATGGTATAGGCTGGTGTGGAAAGGAGGCGGATAATGATCCTGCCTTCTCTCCTTTCCATCCCTTTTATGGCATTGGGGAAATGGAACAGCCCAGTCTCTGTAGGTACTGCTGTTAGGCCCAGCCCTTCTGAGAGTTGCAGAATGATTAAGGAAGAAGGCTCTTTGGGCCTTCATGACACGCTGTGTTGCCTGAATCTAAGCATAAGAAAGAAAGGAAACCAGTCCTTTTTTTTTTAATTTTGAGACCAACATTGTAACTGACTGACTGCCTTCAAGTTTTCTAGCTTAGAAAGGTTTTCTCTCTCTTCTAAAGTTTGTGACTATTAATGTTGTTCAGTTGTTGTTACATATTGGCACCTTACTCTAAAGGGCTGTATCGTTACCATTTCAAACTCAGGGTAAAGAGATTTCAATACATGCAAACAGGCTCGTAGTCCTTACCTTCACATTCCCAATTGTGATGCTAGATTTTTTATGTTTGTTTGTTTTTTAGGATAAAGGGGAAGAAGAGGAAGAGGAGGAATCTCAGTCAATTATTCCAAAATGGAAAGCAAAAAATATTACTAAATTAACTCTGTGGACACCCGGGATTGAAAAACCACCACCTCCTGAAGAGCCTCCGGCAGCAGAAGAGATACCAGCAACTGCAGGTTTGTCCCGATGAACTGTTGGAAACTCCTTCCCCCCCAAATTCCCCAAACTGTTTCTGCCTGATTAATTTGCATATGTTATAATAAGAGAGTTGTACTTTTTGTCAGCTTACAAGATGCTGGATATTAGCGAAAAGTAAAAGTGTGAAGGTTCATCTTATTGCAGCACATTCTTATGCTGCAGCATGCATGCTGAATATACTTCCATTTGATATAATATGGTATTAGTAACAGAGACAACTGTCCTGGGAAGCCTTTAACATTATTGAAATTATTATAATCTGATTCAGGGCTTGATACTGCAACCCGTCTATACGCATTCCCCATGAAGCCAGTGGGACTACTCACATGAGCAAAGGCTACAGGATTGGGCCTAAGCTGTTAGCTGTTACTTAAGAGTAAAAATAATGGCAATGAGCAGATCTATGAAGTTCTTCTTCCCCCTCATAGTTTGGCATATATCTCCTTTTCTCCCATTTCAGTTGCTGAGGAACCTGTTGCTGAGGAACCTGTTGCTGAGGAACCTGTTGAGGTTGGGGAACCTCCTGCTGAAGCTACAGAACCCATTGAAGATCTGTCTCCATCTAAGGAGGGAGAAGAAGAGGAGGAAGGGGGCAAAGAAGATCAAGTGGATCAGGGTGAGGAAGAAAGAGAGGAATGAGTGATTATAGTTGGTCATCTGAAATGGTGCATGTCAACTAGCTGAAAATGTGTTACTGTGTGGGGGCACATTATCATTCTGAAAAGATAGTAAACTCTTGTTTTTCATGAAGGGCTAAATCGTCACAAGATGGCTTTTAATTTTGTATACTCAAGTTTATGTGCATTATTGTTTGCATATAATGGATATTTGAAACTTCTGTATACAAAAATTAGAGGCCGGGCTGATATGCCTCACAAAATTTAACCCCTCAGAGTGAAGCTCCCCCTCCCTCCCCCCGCCAATGAGAGGAATGTTCTCCTCACTGGAATGAAAAAACAAAACAGAACCAAAACACTCTAAGAGATAATGAAACAAACCTTTTATATTAATGTAAAATTTGTTTAGTTAGAAAGTGAAACTGACATTCAGGACTTCAAACTATATCACTTATCACACAAAGCTTTGTTCTGAAGAAAAGAAATATCATTACTATTGATGGGTCTGATCTTTGTAATACACTAAATGGAACGCCAGAGCTAACCAACACCAGAACTTTGGGTGTTTGAAATCTACATATGGATTTGGAGGCTTGATCCCATTGGCGACACTTGCACACTCTCATTCAGAAAGCTAAATTAATTATTAAAAGAAAAACTGAAGTTATTGCTTTTTAATGTTTGGATGTTTTAAGTATAGTTTCTGAATTTTCAGTATTTTTTAAAAAATATTTCAAATTATTTATCAAAATTATTAGAAGGTATTGTAAAATGAGGCCTGTGTTAAGCCATATTTTATGAGTAAATCTTTGCCTACTTAAAATATGGACTGCATATATTAAAACATATCCAGATTTGTAAACTTTTATTCTGATGTTTCCAACCATCAAGTGTTTGATTCTCAGTTTTTCATCAATCCATTTCATGTTAAGGTAAAGTGCAAAACTGACAACAGGAGCCAGAAAGACAATTAAATGGCTTGAAAATATGCTGAAACATACCCTAAACACGTAGAGCTAAGTTTTTTGATTTCAGGAGAGTTATGTCCACGAAGAATTTGGCCCCTAATATACAGAATGTGATGATGCTGAATGTACTTGTAATTTTTAGGCCTCATTATTACTTTATTGATGAATGTTCTCTAATAATGAAATATTGATTGAGCACCCCACACCTCAGTATTTAGTATTTTTTGTAATGAACTGAATCAGTCCATTTAAGTCCTGCAGCATTCTGTTGATGAACCTAGGACTATGAGTATGGGTTACATGTTTATATCCTTATTCGTTTACCATAGGGTCTTTACTTTGGTAATGTGAATACAGTAAGTGGACTGTAAATTTAAAACAGTTTAACAGTAATAGGGATTTTGTTATATGCCTATCTTCTAACAAGAGTAGGATTTTTTAAAGCACTCCACTTAGGCCCACTCCTAATAACAAACTAGACAGTATATGTAAGGAGCCTGCATTATATTTTCCAGGATAAAGTATTACTACAATGAATGAATTATTTAAAAAGATCTCAAGCGCTATTATTTTATTAAATTTACCCCAGAATTCATGTTTTTCCCCCAACAGCAAATACTAGTTTAGAGGAGAAGGAGGAAGAATCAAAGGAATCAGAGGAGGCAGAAATAAGTAAAGAAGAATAAAACCAAATAAGGAAATTACACGGAAAAAAGCTGGGTACCATAGCCCTGTATTATTCTTATTTAATTGAAAGCTCTGTTATACTGTTTTGAATAAACATATTTTTCTGGGTACTTTGTGTAGAAAATGCCTTTTTGGGTGTTTTTCTGAACTCTGAGTTTATGATTTCTAACCCCAAGTCCATTTTCTTTGCTATATACAGTAGCTGTAACCACTGGTTGAACTCAGTGGGACTCCTCACATGGATAAAGTTACACATTTGTGTAAGTGATTACAGGATCGGGGCATATCTTTGGACTCCTTCACATTATTACTTTAAAATGGAGTGTACACAAATGAGAAGAAAAATTCTCAGTAATTTCCCATAATGTATCAGACCATTGTTCACTGAAGTCTGTATCTTAACTGTGGCAGTGGTCTATGCGCAATTCTTCGCAGGAAGGTGAACCTTGGATCTTATAGTCCTCAAAGTCCTTAAGAGCAGTACCAAACCAAAACACAGCCTCTATGTTGGAAACTAATTCACATCATCAAAAATATTTTTGAAATTATGATGTTATAAAGCAATTAAAATGACATTTGCACCTGCTTCTTCAGCAGTTTTACTAACTTCAAAGACTACGGCAGTGTGGAGTTGCACAAAAAAAATTTCACTAGTGTACAGTACTATAGCAAGTTTTTGTGCATCTTCAGTGATTGATTGGAATAGCACAAAAACAGTTGCAAAATCTCAGTGCTTCAGCTATGTTTTCTTTTCCTTTATAGAAAAACAAAATAAGAAGGAACTAACCACAAAATGCTATGTTAATACAATGTTAAAATTGCAAATTTGACTGCACAAAATTCAGACAATATAAATTTAAGGTTCTCATAATAACAGTAACTCCCCCATGTTGAGTTACTAGTGGTGTTCCCCAAGGGTCAGTCCAGGACCAATCCTATTCAACTTATTCATAAATGATCTGGAGAAAGTGGTAAAAAGTGAGGTGGCAAAGTTTGCAGATGATACTAAAGTGCTCAAGCTAGTTAAGACCAAAGCAGACTGTGAAGAACTTCAAAAAGATCTCACAAAACTAAGTGATTGGGCAACAAAACGACAAATGAAATTTAATGTGGATAAATGTAAAGTAATGCACATTGGGAAAAATAATCCTAACTATACATACAATATGATGGGGGCTAATTTAGCTACAACTAATCAGGAAAAAGATCTTGGAGTCATTGTGGATAGTTCTCTGACGACGTCCATGCAGTGTGCAGCAGCAGTCAAAAAAGCGAACAGGATGTTAGGAATCATTAAAAAGGGGATAGAGAATAAAACGGAGAATATCTTATTGCCCTTATATAACTCCATGGTACGCCCACATCTTGAATACTGCGTACAGAAGTGGTCTCCTCATCTCAAAAGAGATATACTGGCATTAGAAAAGGTTCAGAGAAGGGCAACTAAAATGATTAGGGGTTTGGAACGGGTCCCATATGAGGAGAGCTTAAAGAGGCTAGGACTTTTCAGCCTGGAAAAGAGGAGACTAAGGGGGGATATGATAGAGGTATATAAAATCATGAGTGATATGGAGAAAGTGAATAAGGAAAAGTTATTTACTTGTTCCCATAATATAAGAACTAGGGGCCACCAAATGAAATTAATGGGCAGCAGGTTGAAAACAAATAAAAGGAAGTTCTTCACATAGCGCACAGTCAACTTGTGGAACTCCTTGCCTGAGGAGGTTGTGAAGGCTAGGACTATAACAGGGTTTAAAAGAGAACTGGATAAATTCATGGAGGTTCAGTCTATTAATGACTATTAGCCAGGATGTGTACGGAATGGTGTCCCTAACCTCTGTTTGTCAGAGGGTGGTGATGGACGGCAGGAGAGAGATCACTTGATCATTACCTGTTAGGTTCACTCCCTCTGGGGCACCTGGCATTGGCCACTGTCGGTAGACAGGATACTGGGCTGGATGGACCTTTGGTCTGACCCAGTACGGCCATTCTTATGTTCTTATGTTGATACAATGTTTAGGCCCTGATCCTGCAAATACTTCAACACTTGCTTAACTTAAAGCATACAAGTAATCTTATTGACTTCATATAGGACTACTCATGTTCTTAAAGGTAAGCCAAGTATGTAAGTATTGGCAAGTTTGTGCCTAAGATATTTTACAGGTCTCTTTTGGGGTAAAGTAGCTGTTTCTAGCCCCGGTGAGTCGTGAGATATCAGTGTTACTGAAACAGCACTAAATATTTTAGTCCTACACCTCAGACCAGGATAATTTGAGTGACATTCCACATTAAGGGGAAAAGGAGTTAACATTTTAGTGGCAGGTTCTTTTTATTGTAACACAGAACCTATCTGAAGCGGTTGTAGAGGTTTGGAAATTAATAGTAGAGATAGTTAAAGGAAGGAAGTGATAGATGTAAAATAAATACAGTTTATCACTTGGTTTTGCAATTTTTCTCCTGTCTACAGTTACTTATGCGGTTATTTTGTTTAGTTATTGAATATTCTCCCCTCTCTTTACATGGCTTCCTTGGTGAATGGAAATATCATATTTCCATTACTGGCACTGCTAGATTAAGGAAAGCTTGGCTTACTAATGTAAACTTTCCTTCTCTTTTAGAAGAACTCATGTAAATTAGAATTCTATGATATGCAAGCTTTAACATAGTCTGAGGCAAATTTGATGAAAAGCTGCATGACATAGTTAATCAGTTGCTGCTATCTCAAGGTTGTCTTCAGTTCAAGCTGAGTTCATTCTTGGTTAGTTTATGAAATTACTTTTTCCTCAGGCTCATCATGAACTCTGACTTCCAGGAAACTAAAAGCATTTGTTTTGTGAGCATATTTACTCGTGCATTTGGACCGCATTCCTGTTTCTGTAATCCTTACAGATGTTTATGGTACAATCTCACCATGAAGAGCAAACTATAAAACCTGCACCCATCCAGAACAAATAAGGAGATAGCAACCAAAGTCCAATCCACAGACTTACTTTATAATACATTGTTTCTCTTTTCTTCCTCATATTGCTACAGCACCATCGCTACCCTTAGCACTGAGACATGCATGACCTCTAGTGGTATGACACATGCTTCGCATCTTCTTACATACAGTGTAGCCCAGGCTGCTAAGAACCTTTCCCTGCTTTCCTGAGAGCCCTGAAGTTATACTATCTTTGTTGTTTCAACATCTTTCAGCAGTGTGTTTCAGCTTGCTTACCGCTAATGACTAATCAGAGCTCTGACCCTGAAGTCAGTAAAAGGTTTGCCTGAGTAAAGACTACAAGATCAGGCCCTACGTTAGAAATAAGCACCTCAAGAGCCTGAATAAAACTAATTTATTAGCAAGTACCTGTGAAAAATGAATTGTTGAGAGATAACTGCCTCTCCCTCTCTCTCTCCTTCTTGTCTTCCTCTCTATTCTCCTGCTGCTGCGCTAGGGGATGTTCATGTTAATCTCACCATTCTATGACATCACAATAAACTGTGGGCTCAGTGATGGAGCGCAGTCAAACAAGGTTCTGCACATGGATTCTGGATACAGATTATTGTGCCACTTCTCTTGCAATGGAAACTACACTTTAGCCCAGTTTACTGATAAACCCTCTTTCCCAGCCCTCTGCATGTTCTGAGTGATGGCTGACAGTCCCTGTTTTGTTCTTCTAAAAAGACTTCACAGGCAGCAGAACTTGAATGGACATCTTTCTCATCACTTTTCTAGCAGAATTCTGATGCAAAAGGTCCTGCTGCCAGCTTCTGGCATTTACAGAGAGTGTGGGTTCTTTTAACTTAGCAGAACCTTTATTTAGGTGTTCAGATTGGGGTCTATCTTATCCCATAAAGTTCAGAAACAAGGAAAAAGATACCAATGTTAACACTATTTTAAAAGACTTTAGAGATCAGACGTTAAAGGGAGGAAAATGGAATAAAGAACCATGAAGTTGCTTTCTGAATTTTATGCAAATATATGTGTATATATTCACAAAACACACACACACACACACACACACACAGTCTCTCTCTTGTGGAGTTATTTTCATTGGCTGCAATTTTTTCAGCCAACTTCTTCACAAACCACTCTTTGGAGATTTTCAAATAGCACAGTTATTCTCTTGTGCTGTACTATGTTACTCATGAAACATCTTATATTTTAGTGACATAATAGATGATTTACATCCTGATTCTGAATATCACAGAAAATAATAAATTAATGATTTCCTTAACTAAATCTATGGGACTACACAGTCCTATTTTATATGCATCTGGCTCACTGGTTTTTAGACTGATGTTTTGGCAAACTTGTTTGCCTGTATTGTCAGTGGAGAGTAGATGATACTTCATATATTTTCCATTTAGTGTATTACTCATTCAGTTTGCCAGCATTCAGGTGGCAAGATGGAGAAGAACGGCTGGAAATGGCATCTTCTTAGCATCAAACAGATTTAGGAACAAGCTACTTCGCCCTCACTAGATAATGAATGAAGGTTGAAACTCCTGGGCTTTTGTGAACAGATTTACAACACAAGTACCTACTATGAATCAAAAGGATGATTTTAAATCCTCTGAGGTATACATTTTCCTGTAGAATCAATAAAGAATTTAAAGGTGAGAAGTTTTTCCCCCATTATTTCAGCTGAAACCTAAACAAGACACAGACTTAGTTCCAGATCCTGCAAATGCTTATGCACATAAGTAGTCCTATTGACTTAAATAAGACCATTCATTCAGTAAAATTACTTGTTTAAGTGCTTCCAGGATTGGGGCCTTAACATTTCTTTATTACATTCTGACGGGCAGATCATCCCCTATGTAGGATTTCTACACCAAGAGTACAGGAAACTCAGTAAAATCCCACCAACAGAGTTCTCACCCGGTTTTTCAGGGAGGGGAGGGGCATGGGACAGGATTTGCACATGAACACACACCACACACATGCAGTACTGGCAGCAGGTTACATCAACTCTCGAGAACCATGCAGACCTTGGATGCTCCACTATAGTTATCTCCATGGAGGTCCTGGGGCCACCACACTGCTTCAGGTCCTCCCACCACGTGAGCAGGAATTATACGCTCATAGACTTCCCCAGCTGTTGCCCATGATCCCCCTTCCAAG